GATCGTATCGGTCTAGTGGAGGTAATTGGCAGTAGGCGGTCTCTCAAATACTCAGGCCCACTACCATGGATCCTAAAGAGATGTGAGCCATGTCTAGGGCTGAATACAAAGCTTGAATCCAAATTGGCCCATCTCTTGTATTTGATATTTGCTCAGCCTCTTGTTCTCCCCAACCTTTCTGTCGTGTCTGAAGGGCAGCTGTACTCACAGCTCTCTGTGCACGCCATGGCCCTAATAAGGCTGGATTTAAGAGCACAGCTAAAATTGTACTTAAACATTCAAGCAAATATGAATGCACTTCTGTTGGGACCTGCCCACCCAATCTGAAAAGACTGAAGAGCAAAGGGCAAGATATCCATGGAAATTCTCAATCATCCAGGTCCTGGTTGTCCTGAAGATGCTTTTTCAAAAGGCAACTGGACTTCATTTTTTCCCCCTTGAAGACATTTCACTTCTCATTCAAGAAGCTTTTTCAGTTCTGACAGAATGGAGGAGAATGGAAAGATTTATATTCCTTGCTTTTCTGGCCAGTTCTTTTTATTCTTCTTCTAATTACCAGATGACTGCCCGGAATATAAATCCTTCTGCTCGCCACTGTTCAGTCAGAACTGAAGAAGCTTCTTTGATAAGAAGTGAAATGTTTTGAAGGCAAAAACAAAGTCCAATTGCCTTTTGGAAAAGCAAAGGGCAAGATGATCAAATTGAAAAGCCATCGAGAGCAGGACCAATGCATATCTCAGCCTCTTCCTGAATTCAAACCCTCACCCCTAGAGACAGAAACACAACCAGGACTGAAAAAAGAAGGCCTTTAGTTATTGAGTAGGTTTTGAGGACGAGTTGATTGTTGGGTTCATCCTTTGTTACTTACTTAGACAATTCCTCTTTAAAACCTATTCATTACCACCTTTCCTTCTTTTCTGCTAAATGCTAGATCTTATTTATTTTGCCACATTATTTTAATTCACTTTCAGGGAACAGGAGAACTACTGATCTGGAGATAGTGCAGAATTTGATCTCTTTCCCGACGAAGAACATAGTTCCCACCACTACAAAGGGATGCTTGCAGAAAAAAGCAATTACAGACATGACAATAAAGAAACGCAGCAAGCTACTTTGATGGGCACAAACTGATGACTTCCAATATGGAGTAAATGGCAAATTTGTCAAGCACAAATAGGAAAAGCAAGTGTGTTCAACAAAATATCACAGCTTTACCAGATGCCATGCCTGTTTCTATCGAACTCTACCCCGCTCATCTTGGTTTTACATTCTTGGCTTGCCTCCACAACAGTTATGGCCACTGACTAGGAGAGCCTTGCAGTTCAATAAGGAACCCAACAAGCTTGAAAACATGCTCTATCCAACATTAAATCCACAATGCCCTGGTCATCACATGGTCCTCACCTCACCCTGGAAACCTACTACCAAGCCAACAATGAGGTTATTGGGAGGGGGGCGTGGAATTCTATTCTTGGATTCCTGGCAAGCCCTTTTAAAAAGTTAGCTCACCCCTTTTCAAGAAGGAATTGTACTGCTTCCATGTTGCCACTTGCACAGGCAGCCATCAACGGAGTCTTATAGAAATGATCTCTGATGTCTACTGGCACCCCTGCCTCGAATGCTTTCTTTATAGATGAAAGGTCCCCCTCTTTGGCAAGATAATTGATGTTGGCATAGTTCTTGGGTGGGTCTTCAATGTACCACCAGGAATCATCCTGCAATGGGTGTTCTGGAGGATGATCCCGATTAAACCGAGTGCAGTCGGTTACATTTTGATACGTTTCGATCATGTATTCTGGGGGTCCCCCGTCTGTCCGCCGAGAGCGAGAGCTCTCTGGAATGACACAGATGGGCATTGGCATGGCAAATTTTCCTTTTTTGCCTTTTGCTTTCTTGGGCTTCTTCTTCTTTGGACCGTAACTCCCAAGGAGGAAAGCCTTCTGCAAGTACCGGCTGCCCTTCAGAAATTCTTCAATGTTAACGCCTGCAGCACGTGTTTTCTCGTGACTGTGAGCTATTGCTTGTAGCTGCTCCAACTCAATAAATGGATACCTTTCCTCAATAACGGCTATAAAGTCTTCCTTGCTCACAGTCCCATCCCCTCGATCCAATGGCTCAAGTGCTTCCCGAAGGCTCGCCTGGTTTTCTCCAGACCAATCGTGCAGCCTGATAGCCCAGGGTGGATTGGGGTCCTTAACTCCAGGTTTAGGTTTGGAAAATTTGGCAAATCGCCGCTCAATTTTACGTATCTCCTTTGCAGCTGCTTTGAACCCCCCTTCCTTAGCAACCTGCCTTGGTAGCTTCTTCTCTAAGTTTCTCCAGGTAGGATCACAACCTACAAATTTAGAAGAAATACATTGAAAAACAAGTTGTGGTTGGAGATTAGGAATAGTGTGAATCAGTGGTTCTCAACCTGTGGTCCATACGCCCCTGGGGAGGGCGTGGTGTCATTGCAAGGGTGTGTGCGAAGGCATGAAGAAATATTATGATTTAAATCTTGAGTTAAGTCTTGGTAGTCTGTGGGCATGGTCTGCCCATGGTCATATTAGTTTGTGTGTGTGTGTGTGTGTGTGTGTGTGTGTGTGTGTGTGTGTGTGTGTACACACATATACTTATTAGGTTTATACCTTACCTTTTTACTTATATTTGCAAAGCAGATTTCAAAAATACAAAACATAAAACATGATGCTAACAGCAAAAAATTAACAAAAATATCTTCACAGAGAGATGTTTTTACAATTGTTATAAATACTAAAGAATGGGGCTGAACCTAATAAGTATATGTGTGTACACACACACACACACACACACACACACACACACACACACACACACAC